GTTTATCATAATAACCGTTATTAAATTTGCTACTCATAACATGTACCAATGACCAAGTCCGGTTTTGTTTATTTTTAAATAAACAAATATGGCCGTCAATAGAATCTTTAAAAATTAAATAACTCACCGAAATAAATGTAAGTTTCCTTTATTGCCGTCACACTTCGCACCTTTATTATAAATAAAGCTTTTTTTCAAACAAATCTCCAATTTTAACCACTCTTACCACTTTATATTTCTTACTTATTACTATCATTACTTCTCCACCTCTTTCCTTATTTGTTATCTCTTTATTTCTATCTGTTCTTATTAAATTATATTTATTTAAATCAACAATTTCTCCATCCGAAACACCTTTTCCCAGCCATGTCTCCGATACTGCAATAGCATCTTATTCATGTACACATGTATTTCTGAAAAAATCATCTAGTTTTGTATTTATTCCTCTGCAATTCTAGTAATATAAGTATAATTTTTTATTACAATTTGAGCTTCTGATAAACATATTTTTAACAGAAAACAAAATTTATTGAAGGTTAAAAATAACACTCAAAATCCTTGTCGGTTCCTATAATTAATATCAACTCAAATATTATTTTTCTAATTTAAGAAAAAACTAAAATCGTAAATTTATGGAAAGATAATGCGGCTCATATTTATCGAGTATACAATAAAAAGAATTTAAATATTTGAAGTAATAAATAGTTTGTGGGCCTCCTGCCAATGTTTAGTTTAAATTGGCCTCGGTTTTGACAATCTTGATTTCATTATCCTTTTTAATATAGACGCGTCCTCCCTATGTCCATGCATTTTTTGAACCATGCGCATTCCTGGCCAACTTATATAATTTATATCGCCTTCCAGTTAGATCCTCATTAATAAAAATTCTTGAACCTCTTAGTAATTTTCTCGCGTTCAATACTTCTTTTTGATGAACGTAACAAACTCCACAAAAACAGTTTTAGGTTTTCCATTGATTGTTTGTTTTCCCAGTCTATACATATCATTTATATTAACTACAGTGCACTTACTTTTAAGAGTATTGTTTATTAAATTTATGATAACGTCTATCAGATTTGTATTATTCACTTCATTTATGCTATGGAATCTATTGCAGTTGGTTTTTGTTGCTCTGGTTGATATTTGACTCATGGCCTACGGACTATATCTTCCAAACGACTTGAGAGAGAGAGATATGCTTTATTGTCGTAAAAAAATTTACAAAAATTTTATAGACAAAGCGTGTAACTTAAATACTAAACATATTATAAAAATAACTAAACAGCAGAAAAAACAAACAGAAACAAACAGACAAAATAGGAATAACAATTGCAATGGATATGCAATATCCGTCATTATAATTATTCTAATTTAATTTTTAAATTTAAATTTAAATTTAAACTTTAATATTTAATTATTTAATTAATGCCATTGTATCTGGAACTCAAATGTCTAAGGTACGTTATAAAATTCTGCTACTGTGTAATATGGTCTTTCTAGAAGAAAAGCTTTAGCCAGTCTTCGGAACTTATCGTATGTATTTATAGATTTTAATTGCATCGGAAGGTTATTATACAATTTTTTGGCATTGTAGGTAATGGAATGTTTTAATAGGTCAGAAGTGGGCATTGTTAAATAAACATCAGTCTCTAAATTTCTTGTAGGATATCTACGAGTCGGTCTTTCGGATAAATTTTGAATGTGCTTGCGAACTAAGCAGACGGATTCGAAAATAAATAGAGCAGGAAGGGTTAGAATTTTGAAATTTTTGAAGTAATTTTCGCAATGTGTCCTACTACTTAAACCAAATACATAGCGGATTGCTCTTTTTTGCAGTTTAAAAATAGATTCGAAAAGGTATAAGCTACAAGAACCCCAGAAAGGTAAACCATAGCGAAGGTGAGATTCGAATAAGGAAAAGTAGGTTATTAATGCAGTAGAAGGAGTCAGCTCTTTAGAAACCGATTTAATGGCAAAACATGCGGAGGATAATTTTTTTGCTAAGGTATCTATATGAGCAGACCATTTTAGAGAATCGTCTATATAAAGACCTAAAAACTTGATTGAAGTCACCGTTTGGATCAGATTATTGTTTAAAGTTATAGGTTGTAAAGTACCTCTGTAAGACAATGCTACAGTTTTACTGGTGTTGAAACAAAGTCCATTCGAATCAGACCAGGACTTAATAGTCACTAGATCTTCACTTATGATAGATTGTAATGTCTGCATGTTAGAATTATTCCAGGTTACACTGGTGTCATCAGCAAATAAAGTAATTCTACCACTTATTCTTAAGTCTGTGATGTCGTTGATGAATAATAAAAACAAAATTGGACCTAATACTGATCCTTGAGGTACTCCACTGCTTATTGCTAGATTTGTAGAATCCTCACCATTCGCCCGCACCTGTTGATTTCTATTTTCTAGGTAAGTTTTAAACCATTGTAAAGGAGAACCCCGTATGCCATAAATTTGTAACTTAATAATTAAAATATCATGATTTACACAATCGAAGGCCTTTGCGAAGTCACAAAATACTGAAGCGGTGAAAAGTTTATCATTAAGTGATGTGTATATTTCATTAAGAACGGAAAACATTGCGTCGCTAGTGCATTTTTTAGGTAGAAAGCCATACTGATGAGCTGTGAGGATGTTATGCTTGAAAAGAAAGGGCAAAAGACGGTTTTTCATTAGCCGTTCTACTATCTTCGATAAGGTAGGCAATAACGCGATAGGTCTATAGTTACAGGTTTTGGTTTTGTCGCCACCTTTATGAAGTGGGATTATTATAGCTGTTTTTAGACAGTTAGGAAAGAGACCAATTTCAAAGGATTCATTTATCAGTGAAGTTAAAATGTTGATTACTACATCCGGTATATTTAGAAATATTTTGGTGGACAGGTTATCAATTCCACAGGAAAATTTATTTTGGATGTTGTTTATGGTTTGCACTAGTTCATGCTTGTCTACTGGTCTTAGGAAGAAACTTTCAGTGATCCTTTTAGTAGGTAGGAGGAAGGAGAGAGCATCCTGACTCGGAGCTATGTTAGATTTGATATTTTTACTTACATTTACGAAATAATTGTTTAGTTCATCTGGGCTAGGATTTACACTGTTTGAAGAACGGGTTTTATTCCTTAAGTCATTTATTATAGACCAGGTTTCTTTGGAGGAGTTTTTAGCTCTTGCGATGCGATTTTTGTAATAGTTTTTCTTAGCAGATTTGGTGATTTTCCGATACAATATTCTGTAGTTGTTGATATAGTTTAATATTAGGGGATTATCTGTGTACTTTTTAATATACATGAGTGACCTCATATTTTTAGATGATGTTCTTATTCCTTTAGTTGTCCAAGATTTATGACATTTAGTTTTAATGGGGCGAAGGGGGAAAGCTGTATTGAAACAAATAATTATTTTATTTAAGAAGTCTAAAAATTTAGAGTCAATATCTTCAGAAAGACCATTCCAATCAGTAGTTAGACATAAATTATAGAAATTTTTGAAATTATGCTTAGAGAAAATTCTACCTAGCTGACGGACTTTTTTTGGAGCTGTACGGGGTATCAAAAATTTGGCAAATACTGCTTCGTGGTCTGAGAGACCTGAGCTAATTACTTGGTGCTCTACATCAACGGGTTTAAAATCAGAGACTACGTAATCTATAATTGTAGATGTTGTTTCTGTGATTCTAGTTGGAGAATTTACGTGCATAGTGAGACTGAATGATTCAAAAATATTGATCAAAGACTTTTGAGTAGCACATACATTAGCAAAGTCAATATTAAAATCGCCGCATAAAATTTTCTTACTTTTTATATGCAATGCGTCAAGTAGATTAAGAAGATTCTCTAGAAAGAGGTGAACATTTGATTTAGGTGTTCTATAAATACAAATAATAAACAAATCAATGTTTTTGTTGTTTACAATGGAAAATTCGAAGAAATTTTCAGCTTGTAGAAAGTCGTATTTAGATACAGCAGAAAAGTCCTTGTCTAAGGATAAAATTAGAGTTCCACCATGGTCTGTATTACTTCTATCATATCTGCTGACGATAGTATATTTTTCGACAAAAACTGGTTCACCAACTTGTAACCAGTGTTCTGTAATAGCAACTATTTGGGGAAACCCTAACTCTTCCAAAAACAAATACAATTCATCAGTCTTATTCCGTATTGATCGAATATTAATTAGAACCATTCTTAATTTACTGTCGGCATAGCCAGTAAGACTAGTTGGGGATTCTAGTTCCCCAGGACACGTCGTATTAATTAAAAATTTTTCCTAGGTGAATCGGCAGTAAAATAACGATGATTGTACTTCCTTTGCTTCTGCAGGTGTATTCTTCGTTCCGCGGATATATATGCTCTGTAGGTAGAGAGATCGTTATCCACTTCAGCTGAGCCAATACCATATAGATCATGATAATCATAATAAATGGTCCGTAAAGCTCCAGGATCAACAGGCAGTCCCTCAGAGGCTAGAAACACTTTTACACTTGTGTTCGTATAGCCTTCATGACAGACAGATGATGGTTGGTCATGAAGATAGGCGAGGAAGAGCTTGAGGGACGATAAAATAGGCAACCAAGGTTCAAATATCTAGTTTACAACCCATCCAACGACAAAAAAACTTTTTTGGATAAACACGGACTTGTTATTAATACTGAAAAACATTTTTCCAGTATAGTTTTTACTAGAAACCTCCAAACTCAATCTAATTATTCAGAATCTCTGTTAAACACGTCTATACGCGACGGCTCATCGCCGATAGTATGGTAGAATTGGGGTGGTTTTACCCTTTCATGATTTCAGTTTGTGTAATTTTTACTTTGGACAATGGCGCTTCAATTATTAAAATAGCTACATACCAAAGTTTATAAAAATCGAATGAAGCGTTCTTGATATAGGTCATTTTGGCCTCTTAATACACGGAATTTTGAAACACCCTGTATTACCGACCAATATTAATAACTTTCTTTTTATTTTTTTTATTTTCAGCCAACAATGGAATAGAAATGTTTGCTTTCCATGGAAAGATAAATAAAGAATTTAAACAATTTGAACCTGGAGATTTTACCGAAGATATCATGGAACCTGTGAATGGTTTTTTTGTTTACGATAATCCGAATTTACAAATAAAAGTTGGAGATGTGATCTACTACTGGATATTTGTGCAACACGATCAACTGGGATATAGATTGGATAACCAAACATGGCATGTTAAAGGTAATGATTTAATAAAATTATAGTTCATCATCAAACGAAATAAAATAAAATTTATAAGGATGCACAATGGGACCAGTGAGACCTAAGTGCCGTGGGGACAACTCACTATTTACACGTTACAGATACGGATATAGATGAAATTTATAATTAGAAAAAGAAGACGGAAAAAAACATGAAAATTAGAACATCAAATCAGCATCCATAACATCATGAATTATTCTTCATGTTTTCTGCTTCTTTATTTCAACTATAAATTTTATTTTGCCTGATGATGACCTAAATAGGTTGAAACTAGTCATATACATATTTTTAATTTCATTAAATATCTTTGAGTAACCGGTTTCATTAATTATACGTTAATCTACTTATTTGAATTAAATATAGAATCTAATCAGAGATAACAGAGATATAAGAAGTCATTCATAAAATATAATATTCATGGTGCCAAGAACAGTTCGCACTCAAAACATTCTATTTCTAGACGCGGGGCGAGGCGACGAAAGGTGAGAAGTAAAAGAAGGGATACAGTGAAGAATTTTACATAGTTTTATCAATGAATAACTGCCCGAGCTTTTACTACTTAACGTAACTTTTCTTGCCGGTGTAAGCCCTGTTGCCACTTCCAATCTAACATCACTAGGTTTTGGAATTTGTTGAAAATTATTACATCTAATTTAATGAAATTACATCTAATTTGGTTAAAAATGCCTATTTTTTGTTCTAATGCTCAATTAAGTCTTTGTAGGAAGTATTTTTTTATAATTATTTGAAAAAAATCATTTACATTAACCCTTATGATCGAAAAAAAAATTTAATGTCTCAGTTTCAACCGTCTACAAATTTGTATAAAAAATCTTCTTTTAGAAATATACCTCTCATTTGACGAAAAACGAAGGCCTAAATGAAAAAAAACTATTCTTTATAAAAGTTTCGCCTATGTATTGACAAGGTAAAAGTACTTTCCTCATATTTGTTGCTTTTAAATTAACAAAAATATAGCAATAAACCATTAGTGATGTCATGGTTTTACTAGAAAGCAAACATTAAAGGCAGAGCCTATCGACTCTTTATGCATCTATCTCAGTATTGAAATATATGCAATCAGTTTGGCCCCTCTTATATTATTTTATACAGGGATTATTGATTTATCCACCATGTTTAATAGGGTGTACTAATAATTACTTCAAGATTTCTTTTTTATTTTTAATGTAAAATGAAAATAAGAAAATATAAACTATTTATTTAAGGTATTTATTGAAGTATCAATTATAAACAGTAAGGCTATTGCTTTGCAAAATACAATAAATCCCCAATATAAATAAATTATAATAATAATAATAATAATAATAATAATTGGAAGGAAGTATATAAAGCATAAATTAATAATATTAAAATTTATAATTACAAGACTTTCAAACTAATCAGAATCAGATTCACCACACGAATCAACATTTTCCAAAACATTAGCGGCTGTGGTCAAACTATTTCTGCAGTTTTTCTGTGCCATACAGGTGCAGGAACCGATACAGTAAATATTTTTTTTCCTGCATTTGCAAATTTTGCTTCCACAGTATAGAACAGAATATTATTGTTAGAGTATTGTTTAGTATGTTTTTTGCATTTGCATGATGTAAGTTCTGTTATGTCTGGTGACAGGTCGGGCAGAGTCTTAAAAGTGGGTATCAGACTTCCATCTTGATCTACTTTCCATCCATACTCTTCAACATTAGGAAGCTGCATCTGGGTTTAAAGAGGTTAGCCAAATATTTAGCTGGTAAAAACATCTTAAACAATGTAGTCTTAGGGCGTCTTCAGTCGGTGGTAATTTAGCGATGGTTTTTGAAGAGGTCAATAATCCCCTCAAAATGCTAATGAAAGTAACATTGGCAGTTTTGAATACATTTTTAGGAAAATTCTTTCAAGATTAGAGAATATGTTTTCAGAGTACTGATCAGTGCCAAATCCATCCAAAAAGTAATGGTTTTCAAGGTAAGTTTTCCAACAGGTTTTGTTCCCAATGCCGGACAATTAAATGGTTGTATCACAACCGGTCAGAATGAAAAGCAGGCATATTTTTTAGAAGGTTTTCATCCAAATTTAAATAATGTACTGCTAGAAATCGTCTTGAGTCTCCTCGCCTTGTTCTGAACCATATATCTTTAGTCAAAAACTTCTTAAAATAAATTAATAAGACATCTGTATCGTTGCAATAAATAATGCAGCGTGAATGCACCGAATTTTTGGCTGACAATATGTGCAATGAGATACGATTATTAGCGTCTGTGTGATTTGAATTTAAAAAAATCGTCTTTTGATGGTTCAAAATTCTTTCCATATTTATTGATTTTCGCGAATCCACCACTAGTTAGAAATTGAATATGCTTTTGCTGAATGGAGTTTTGAAGAAGTTGCTCTGGCAGAAAATGTGTTAAACGTCTTTTGTTAAATATCTAATGAATAAACAAGTTCTATTGTTGCGGAAGTGGAATATTGAGTCGGTCAATTTCTATATCAATTTATTTCTGAAATCCTCTCTTTTGACGTGTTGTATTTTTGATAGAATGTCCTTTATAATGATCAAATACCACATCTATCATTTGAGCATTAAATTTATTTCTAAAAATAATGTTTACAAATATATGAGCATATTCTTTAAATGATATGCAACTTTTGGGCTTTCCTATTTTGATATAATTTTTGTCTCTGCTACTTGCAGCAACAAATCCGTAATTAAAATTTTAAACGAAAACTTATAACTTACCCAAATATATTTAGCTGCAACAGGATGAATGTAGATATAATAAAGATGCAAAAATGTCTATATTTTTTCCCAATTTATTAGGTAATTTAATATATAACAAATACACTTATTAATTCTTTAGTAAAAACAGATAACAATATGACACATTGCCCTATGGAACATAACAAGCAGTTTTATAATAAAAAAAAAGAAAAATCCTACCATATCAATAATAGAGAGTTATTGCAAGTAAACTTAAGGTCAGTCACTATTAGTGCCGCTCTTATTTTGACATCTGAGCATGCGCAGATCACTAACTTTAATAAAGATTGTGCTTGTCATTAATAGAGAGATATTGCAAATTTCTATAAAGCCAGCCACTAAACTTTAAATTATAGTTCATCTTTTTTGTTGTCTATAATATTAAAGAGGCATTAGAAATTATAATATTAGAAGGTTTAAATGACGAATATATTAAATATTTAATATTAAAAAACTTCTGACGGCAAGCGCATTCGAAAACTATAAAGTCGCCACTACCTGCTGCCCTTAAACATCCACAATTAAGGACAGGCACAATCCTTAATAAAGTCAGTTTTAGAACGTAAACATTTGCGCATGCTCAGATGTCAAAATAAGAGCGGCACTAATAGTGACTGACCTTAAGTAAACTTGCAATAACTCTCTTATCAAGGACAGACACAATCTTTATTAAAGTTAGTGATCTGCGCATGCTCAGATGTCAAAATAAGAGCGGCACTAATAGTGACTGACCTTAAGTGAACTTGCAATAACTCTCTAATGTGATACATCAGCCCGCACGTAGAGAGAAACAGAGCTATGCTACGTTTGAAGGTGAAGAGAAAGATACACTGAGAGTCGATAAATTTGACGGTGAGAATTGATTACAGCATAAACCTATGACATCTCTCATCGTTTATTGTTATATCTTTGTTAATTCAAAAGCAAAAAATATAGTGTTTACTTTGTTACCTTCTCAACACATAAGCAAAAATTTTATAAAGAATGTTTTTTTTTCATTTAGGCCTTCGTTTTTTGTTAAATGAGTGGTATATTTAAAAAAGACGACTTTTTAACTAAATTTTTGAAGGGCTAAAACCAAGATATTTACGTTTATATTTTTTTTCGGCCGTAAGTGCTAATGCAAATGATTTTTTTTTAAATAAGTATAAACAATTACTCCCTACAAAGATTTTATTGTGCATTTGACCAAAAAATTAGTATTTTTTTCTCTATTCGGTGGTATCAATATCTGGATTTTTGATGATAGTGCCCTTCTGCACAATCTAATTTTGTATTAACTCCGGAAAAAGGGTTACCTTATCATGACCTTTCATCTGTGAAAAATTCAGCTATGTGACAAAAGAGTGGGAGGTGAATCGTTTTCTTGAGCGAATATTTTAATACATACACTTTACTAACAATGACAACAGCGGATATTATACCCACAATATATTGTGATTATACCCTACTGTGTCCCTTAGAATATGTCTTATTCACGGCCGCACGATATTTGTTAATAGTTACATCTCCTGGTTATCTCTGAATCTAATCTACTATATTTGTTTTTCAAAGAGATATTTATTCCTATAAAATAATATTGTTGGCCTAAATTTCTAATTTAAAATATTTTTTTGTTTCTTTTAGAATTAAAAGTCAGACAAATTGTTACTAGTTGTGGTCCAACTGTGACTAACGTTAATGGGCCAGCAGTTAAATGTAAAGGTGATATTATTTTTGAAGATGATTTTAACGGCAGTTCGCTTGACAGCAGGAAGTGGATGTTGGAGCAGTATATTCCAACATTTCCAGTAAGTGAAAGTCGTGTTAATTTAATAGAAATGAAAAACTTTTCAAATTTGATATGCTGTATACAGGCCAAAATTTTAAAGCGCCAACAATTAATTTTTCAATCTATTATTAAGGTATAAACATGATCAAAACAATTATTCAGTGCATTTATTTTGAAAGAATATTAACATAACAAAAAATAACATTACAAACATTTCAAGATAAAAAAATCAATAAAACAAAAACTTCGAATCCAATTTCCTTTTTATTAAAGTAATTTGCTTGAAATTAAAAACGATATAATATCGTCTTCATCTAGAGAGTCAACAAGTTCACTCTCAATGCACAATAAAGCTAAATTGCTGGTCTTCGAATCAGATAAACTATTTCTTAAATAGTTCTTGACTCTACGTAGTGTTGAAAACGACCTCCCTCCGGTAACATTAGTTGCTGGTATTGTCAAAAAAATTTTTAAAGCAGTGTCGATTTTTGAATATGTTGCAACTATTTTAAGTCTTCTCAGAACTTGTAGTATCTTAGCCATATTGTAGTTTTCTTCTTTGTTTTCTTCCTTTAAAGCTTTTAGAAAGTATATAAATTAAATACATTCTCCTGCAAAATCTCTATCAAGTTCAGACTAATAACTCTGCCATAAATTTGCTGCCTCTATTGAAATTTGATTGTCCGAAAGATCACATATCGATCCCATAAATCCAAACGTGTTTGAGACCCTTTCATAGGCGATTTTTCTTCGAATTAGTTCTGATGACAAATTATCTAATATACCGTAAAATGTGTTAATTTTCATATATTGTTTTCCATCAAAATTCGTTTCAACTTCTTTACTCTCATCGAAAGCTTTCTTTCTTATTCAGATTCTGTTCACTTCAACTTTGTATATATTACATTTTGTTAAATCTTTAGCATTTTGTTCGATTTCTTCAAATCTTTCGTCGTTTCGCAAGCTGCTTACATACAGTATCAGTGAATCGTAGAGTTTTGTCAGTAAAGAAACGTCTGTGGACTGTTTTTGTAATGTTTTGCACACACTATCAAATTTCGGTAGCAACTTATTCCACACTTCTAAAAGAATTTCAGTTTCCAGTTTGTTATAGTTATTTTAGTTGTTATTATCCTTTTCAGAAGGTTTCTCCAATACTCTTTTTCTATTAAGTATTGTTTTTCGATGTTGCTATCTATTTTTCCGAGTACTGTGGAACGTAATGTATACGTTTTTGTATTTTCTCGATGCTCTATACATTTCTGGTGTTCCCCTATTCTTTCTAGATGCTTCCAATCATTAAATCCATTGACGAATTGTGAAAGGTTTGATCCGAATAATTTACACTGCAAACAGTACATTTTGTTGGTTGACATTCTCTCCGGATATTCTCGCCATTTACTAATTTCACGAAAAAAAATTTCTTTGATGTGTATCGACTGCGATTTTCATTGGGATACAGTCTTTTCGACTATTCAAAATCTATCTGTTCCAAATTTTGAGCGAAAGAATTCTTCACTATATACTCTACTAATTTAGTATTAATTACCCACACACCTGAGTTCTGTGAGTGGTAATTAGAAGGCACAAGTTTCGTCAAGTTTAATAAAAAAAATAATTACTTAGGTATAAAACATAATTATTAAATGTACCTTTGCACTTACCACCAACAGTAACCACATTATTTATGGCAACGACAATAGCATTTTTATCTAAATTTTCCGACCACGTCCCGATTCCTGATGTAGATGAAGATGCTATTACATTATTATGGTCATATTCTTCGTCTTCCATATGTGGCTGTATTACATTCGTCTCACTAGTTTTGGGTGCAATTTTAAAATAATTGTCTAGTTTTGGAACTTTTTCAACAATTCTTTAGATTTTTCTTCTTCCTCCCTAAGAAAATTCCTTCGTTGAGCTCCACTTAATTTTCGTGAACTCATGATTCCAGTGGTAACAAATAAACAAAAGAACTATGCTACTATGCACTTTGTCACTACTGATAAACTGTCCATATATTTCGTAGCTACAACTTCGTCACCAGTCACAACCCAACTCGCAATATGACACATGCACACACGTATTCATTATTCAAGTGAATCATATTTTAAGTCATCCTCGCGTCGGCGGTGCACGCGTACACACATACTTTGATTTTCTTTTACTATACGGAGAATGGTCGCACTGCGCAGCTTTCTGAGTGCCTTTTAAAAGGAGATAGAAAACTCCGCCATTTTGATCCCTTATTACGTGTTGCCTACATCTTGGCACAATATTTTTAATAGGTGCGTTTTAATCATCCGCTTCTGCTTCGGAATTGTCGGTTTTCTTGTTTTAATCTGACAGGTTAAAACGACTAAACCGACAATTCCGGAAGCAGAAGCGGATGATTAAGACGCACCTGATATTTTGCTTGCTGCTGTCATTGTCAGTGAATATTATTTTTGGAGTCACACTTTATTGCTAAAGAATCAGTTAGCTCACTCGTACCAGTTGAAAGTTCCAAAATAACATTCACTCCAGGGATACAAATTCAGGATACGCAGAAGACTGCTGTTTTATTATAGGCGGTTGTCATATTATTGTATTATCCGAGTTGCGCAGCGTATAAACTGAAACATTGAGATCAAAAGTGCCGACGTAGAGTGAGCCCTATGTTGGGCGTGTCGGACCTCTTTCTTGCACCGTATAGTAATCAAAGTATGTGGCCGTAGCCCAGTGCAGGAAGGAAGTTACGTAAAAACAAAAAATAAAATTACGGTACGGCACAAAGCACCTGATACATGTGATAAGTTAATGTTAAGCAGTTCGCACTCGCCTCAGCGTGGCGTGGCGCCCCCGCCTGGCGTTGCGCCCCTGGGCCATGGCCCTACTGGCCCCTGTGGTTAATCCGGCTCTTGTTGTATAGGACAAAGACAACAGAGATGGGTAGTTTATTAGGAAAACTTGTTTGGTAGTCCATTTAAATTACCTATATGACTTTTTTCCTCTTTTACATTGATCTGAACATTTATTTTTTCTCTTCCATAAAACTTCAACTAGCTCTAGAGGTCGCTAATGTTGCTGGTTTTTCGACGCTGTTCGCGCGTGACGTATAGACCAGAATTGACAACTGATAGTTGTTGTTGTTTAAATTAGTTTTTGATAAACTGAACACCCTGTAAACCAGTTATAAATATAACCATCGCCCACTTAAACCCTAAGATAAGTAAATGTGGTACTAATGTTTTTTTTACATTTATAGGATTTCGAATTCAACATTTATAACAAAGAATCCGCAATTACTTCACTTCAAAATGATCGATTAACGATTAGGCCCAAAATGCGAACTGAAGATCTCTACGAAGAATGGTTGGATTTGACTGAAGGGTAACGTAAACGTAATTTTACAATTTTATATTTATCACAAATTCCATGAATTAAAAAACTGCTACAAGATACAATTTTATATCTACAGACTGAATATCACTTTTGACTGTGGCGGCTGATGCATAAGTACTGTAGATCTGCAGAACTGTTAAAAAACTCTCATCTATATTTTACAGAAATTCAATTTTATGGATAATCCCATTAATTTAATTTTAATTAAAAAAACGAAAATAAATCAAACTCAAATGTGATAGACGTAAAATAAAATGAATCAAACTAAAGCCAATATCACATAAATACCAACGACCGTTTCCCTTCAGAAAACAACTACTCCTTTGGCTAATACCGCAACAGGTATTGAATTATATCCGAAGGAAAGACAGCAGAGATAGAAATTAAATTTCAACACTCTCTACCTTTGATTTTGCTCACTAAGGAGAACATCGTTCTTGGACCGGTTACGTCCTTATTAGGACTCTTTAGTAAGAAACAGATAAGTTCTCAATTCCAGTCTCTAATGGAATTAACAAATGCTACACATTTCACCATTATACAATAAAATTGGTTATGAAGAGAATAAGAATTCAAGTAGTGAAATTACCTCAAAAGTAGAGAGTGTTGAAATTTAATTTCTATCTCTGCTGTGTTCCTTCGGATATAACTCAATACCTGTTGCGGTATTAGCCAAAGAGGTAGTTGTTTTCTGAAGGGAAATGGTCGTTGGTATTTATGTGACATTAGCTTTGAGTTTTATTAATTTTATTTTACGTCTATCACATTTGAGTTTGATTTATTTTCGTTTTTACAAATTGTCCGCCTGGTCCTTTTTGGTTCCACCTAGTTTTCTAACTGGGTACTATAGCGCACTTTGATTTTGCTTACTAAGAACAGATGTTCCTTCTTTCATAGTTTCTTGAAGCCGTGGTACTATAATGGTTTCACTTCTACTAGGTACCACCGTGTTTTTCTGTACAGCTACTGCCCTGTTACTCTGTTCGGCACCAACTTTGATCACTCTGTTCTTAAAGTCTTACTGGAAGCCATGTAAGTTCATTACATCCATTCCTAGTAAAACATCTTTGATGTCAGCGATAATAACAATATGGGTGAACTTTTCTGTACCAATTCCTAATTGAATCTGGATTTCCCCATGGATGTTGGCAGTTTCGCCTGTGGCAGTCCGCAGTCGCAACCTTGATGGTAAAAGACTCTTGCGGTAATTAAGGTTTGTTGGTCTTATAATGGTCATGGTTGCTACAGTATCCACTAACAGTGCGACATTTCAATGAGGCTATCAGTATGAGAGGGTCTTCTGAACGGTTTGAACTGTGAACATGTCCCATTTGACCGCAGTTTGTCTTTATCTTTTTATCAATAAGGCTCTTTTTCTTTTACAGTCCTTAGTTTACTATATCTACCAGAACCATGCGTAGGTGCTTTATACTCTAAAACAACGTTTCTCAAAGTGTGCTCCGTGGAGCCTTGGGGCTCCACAAAGCCTCCGTGGGGTCTCCGCAAAAATAAAAGTCATAATATTAAAAAAAAATTTGGGCTTCACTAAGGCAGGATCTAATTTTGCTCGAGAATCTTTTTTTTTAGAATTCACTAAGAAAGGATCAAATTTTTTTTATTTTTTTTTTGCCCTGGGGTTGAAAAGTAAAATAAAATCTATCTAGACCACTGGTCGCCAACCTGTCGATCGCGAGCTACCGGTAGCTCGCGGAGGCAATTCTGGTAGCTCTCACAACGATTTTAATTTAAAAAATACAAACTGCAAAAATCAGAGAAGGTTCCGAAAATTCCACAAAAAAATCTAATTGTCATAATATTAAACATAAACAGCGGCAACGTTGCGGTGAGCGATCTGCCGCTGACGCCATCAAGCTAGAATCGGCTAGAACCGACCAGCCGGACCAGCGCGTTAGTGTTCGAGAACGATCAGGATTGCTTTGAACGGGATAAATACGCACGGTGCGGCGACATTGCGCTTAGTTTAAAACTGAACGCGTAACCAACGTCCAGCGGTTGGGTTAGTAGAGAACAACAAAAAATAATATTATGGCAAGCAGTTGTAAGAAGATAAAGACATACCACTTTCATTCGGAATGGGAAAAACAATACTTTTTTACAGAAGTTAAAGATAAAAATGTGTGTTTGTTATGTAATACTTCGGTCTTCGTTGCTAAAAAAAGGAAATATTGAGAGACATCATAAAACTGTACATTTTTTGAAAAATCATTCCCACTACATTCTGCCGCCAGAAAGAAGAAACTGAAACAGTTAAAAAAGCAGTTAATTGGACAACAATCAATATTTTTAAGAACAGTCGACAAAAATAAGGCTGCAACTGAAGCATCGTACCGTGTGTCCCAGATAATTCCACAAAAAAAGAAACCTTATGAAGACAGGGAAATGATAAAACAGGCGTTTTTAGAAGCTGCTGATTCGTTATTTGTCAACTTTAGAAATAAAGACGAGATAGTTTCAGCTATAAAATATATACAACTTTCTGCTAATACAGTGATGAGACGTGTAGAAGTAATGAGCAATGATATTTTTTTACAGTTAAGAACTGACTTAGATAACTGTGTTTATTTTTCACTTCAACTGGATGAATCAACAGATGTCGTTGACACTGTCCAGATGGCCGTGTTCGTCAGGATGGTTTTTAGTGATTTTACGATTAAAGAAGATATTTTGAAGTTTATTCCTCTGTAAGGACACACTACTAGACAGGAGTTGTTTTCTCATTTAAAAAATATTTTTTCTTCCGAGAAAATTCCAATATCGAAAATGGTAGGCTTGACAATCGATGGCGCTCCAGCTATGGTGGGTTGTGATAAGGGTCTGGTGGCGTTATGTCGTAAAGATGAAACTTTTCCGCAATTTCTCTGTTACCACTGCATTATCCATCAGCTAGCATTATGTGAAAATTTCCTGAAACTAAACAACGTTATAAAACTGATGATAAAAATTGTGAACAAGATTAGAGCTCAAGCGTTACAAAGAAGATTATTCAAAACCTTGGCCGATGAAGTTGACTGTCAATACGGGGACCTACTCCTTCACTCTGAAGTCCGATGGTTAAGTAGAGGACGGGTGCTGAAACGTTTTAATGATGTCCTATCTGTCATAATTTAATTTTTTAAACAACGCGATGAACCGACTCCGGAACTAGAAAATTCAATCTGTCTTAGAGATTTTGGTTTTCTCGTGGATATTACAGAGAAATTAAAAGAACTTAATTTGCAGCTTCAGGGGAGAGACAAAGAACTAGCGCAAATGATTTCTGATATAAAAGCATTTATCAAAAAGCTGGAGTTTTGGGAACAAAACCTAATTAACAGCGATGCCAAGCATTTTCCTATTCTTTTAGAAAAAATATCTCAAAATCCATTAGAATCCTATGACAGCAAATATCATGTAGAAATAGTTTCTACCCTGAAGAATAACTTCAAAAATCGTTTTAAGGATTTCAACGAAATGGCTTTAGTAGCGCAGTTTGTTATTTCACCCTTTATGGAAATTGATATCCAACAGTTTGCAACTTGTGTTATGCAGAACTTTGGCGAAGACATATCTGCAACAGAAATGGAAGTAATTGAGTTTCAAAATGATTTAGCCTTAAAATCGTTAGTCTCAAGTACCAAATGTATCTGGCCTATTGTAAGTAAAGACAAATATTCAGTTCTATGCCGTGTTGCCTTGAAAGTGAAAGCATTATTCAGTTCAACCTATTTGTATGAATCTTCTTTTTCCAATATGAAGTTTATTAAGAACAAATATCGCAATCGACTTACAGATGAACATTTGGATAATTGTATTCGAATGGCTGTATTAAATTATACTGCCAACATTAAAAAAATTATATTATCGATGAGTCTGAGCATTGTATTTAGATCAACTAATAAAACAATACCAATCCAAATTATCTTGTAGGACAATGGACAGTATCAATAGATGGCAGCAAGCTCCGTGGTGTCCAAGTCATGTCTTTGATAATTTTGTCGTCTTCGAAACGAACGTAATTTCACTATTTACTAATAGATGGGCCCATAATCGATTCAGAATATTTGTTTTAAAAATGGAATATACGAGTTTAATTATGCTTGTTGAACATTTATTTACGATTTATTATCATTTTAGAGAATATAAACAATAGTAATTTAAATTTAGAACTCTACCCATATGAATTTAAAAATTAAGAAAATTTTATGTATATAGAAATCTGTACTCAATGATCGAGGAAGTGCTAGCGTTCGGGCTATTTTGATGAATTTCCAACAGATGTCGCGACAGAATTGCCTCCAATGAAACGTCCATAAGGTTGTTCTACTATCTTTTCTAAATACAATGGTCTGAGTGTCAGCCTTCTTCATTGAACGTGCTTTTTTATTTTTCAATGTTTATGTTCATGATAGTGCGTTACTTTTTTGTTGTTATTATTAACTATTTTTAAATCTTACGTGACATGCCGTTGTGGCTGGATAAAAGTTTGTGTTTATTTTTCAAACACCTTCGTTTGGTAGGTAGGAATGTAGCTATGAACAAGTACGTACTAGTAATATTAGTTATTTTGTTATTAGTTTATTATTAGTACCTATGTATTATGTATTACCAGTTAAATAGTAAAATAAATACATATAATAATAAATTAACTGTGGATTAGTTCATTTACGTTGCGTTACGTGGCTTCCGTGTGGGTAGCTCGCTGTTTATTCCAAAATTAACAAAGTAGCTCAACACATTGAGAGGTTGGCGACCACTGATCTAGACCAATATAAAGTTTAAAAAAGTTTGAGAAAAGCTGCTCTAAAGAAAGCAGCAGAGAAGACATCTCTGTCAACTGGTTTATTTTAACTTTATAACTTTATTAGTCTGTATCTGCTAGCAGTTTTAGAATCCGAACATTAAATACGTTATCTAAAATCAGTTCTTGAATTTGCGGCACCAACAATTTTTTTTTATTTCGCTAGGGTGTATTATTTATTCATTCTACAGTTTTTCAACCTTTAAAAAATTTATTTTAATTTATTTTAGATGCACACAACCAATATCCAGTAGAACAACTAAATGTAGAAGCAAATTGTTTATAATACAGCATCCAATTGCTTCAGGAAAAATTGTATCCACAGCTAAATTTTCATACGGAGAAGTGGAAGTGAGAGCAAAATTGCCTGCAGGAGACTGGATGTATCCTCGTAAGAAGTATTTAATTTATCTATTGTTTTTTCTTTTACTGGTGTCCCATATAAAATAAATTTTAAAGACAGGTAAATAAAACTAAAATAAAATCTTTTTCATCACAATTTATACAGAGTCATTAGATTAAAAAAAATCATAGAAACTAGATATTTGACATTCGGCAGATAAGTTTTTATTGGTACTTTATAAAGGGAGACCTCCTTTTCTAAAGTTTTTTTTTCTTACACCTTTATTTACATTTTTTCCTTGTAGTTCTTGGGTTTTTAGGTGTTGGTTGAGGAATAAAACTTGTGTTTTGTGTAAAGCTTTCGGCACTGATCAGTACCTTCTTCAGTAGTTTTTTATTTTTTTAATATTTGTACATTTTAACAGTCATACTAAAGAACAATTATGATTGTTAAAATGTACAAATATTAAAAAATTAAAAAAACTACTGAAGAAGGCACTGATCAGTGCCGAAAGCTTTACCCATAACACGAGTTTCATTCCTCAACCAACACCTAAAAACCCAAGAACTACAAGGAAAAAAGATAAGTTTTTAGGAAAGTTAACAATCCAAGTATGAGAACAGTATCATATGATATTCAGCATACAATCGTGACTTAACGTTTTTCCATTAAATGACTTTCGTAATATCTTTTCCATTTTAGTTTATTTTAAATGGGACACCCTGTATATTTGGTGTACTAAACTATATTTACAATCAAAGAAATTTCGGTACTGAATCCTCGCTTCAAGATCGTCGGTATCTCTAAAAATGTTTCTGAAAATGATCTTATAAATGTTACTAAAAGCCAGAACAAAAATGAAATATCTCCAGATGTAATTTAAAAGTTTTCTTCCAATTACTTTTGAAAAAGAATAACAAACTTTTCCAAGTCATAATACAGTCAGATATTAATAGGTTATCAAAAGGTTATGTCACTAGGTAAACTATTTGTTGGCTACGATTATTGTAATGTTTTTGACGCCATTGAGCTAAGGCGGTGCTTCAAGTGCTGTCGTTTTCATCACCTAGATAAACACTGTAATTCATCTGTTTATATTATTTGTCCATTATGTGCTCAAAATCATAAACTCAGTGAATGTCATAAACCCAGCAGTAAGTATTGCATTAACTGCCATAATTTTAACAAAACTGCCGAAAGTCCGATCCCCGTAAATCATTCTGTTTTGCAATATAATGAGTGTCATCTTTATAAAAAAACTCTGAATGAATTTAAATCCAATATTCTGTCTCCCAAGTAGCAACCAGATCGAGCACATCCTATTTCAACTATTAATAATAAAAGTAAATGTATTATGTCTAACTTTTCTCTTTTCTATCAGAATGTTCGTCGTGGCACTCGTACGAAGACTCGAGATCTTTATCTTAACTCATCAACTTCCTCTCAATATGACGCTCACTGAGACTTGGCTAAACGACTCAATCAAGGACTCGGAACTATTTGATCCACACCTTTACAATGTTTACAGAACTGACAGAAAATTCCATAAAATGTCTGCAACACTAGGTGGAGGTAGCTTAATTGCTTTAAAAAAACAATTCTCGTCCAGTATCTTTGACACCGACCATATTTTTGAACCTCTTATATCTATTGATGTAACATCTATAAAACTGAAATGTTATTATACCTGAACAACATGGATTCATCAAAGGACGTTCTACTATAACAAATCTCTTCTGTTTTAGACAGTTCTTGTGTGAGGCAATTGACAAAAAGAATCAGGTAGACGTAATCTACACTGATTTTTCCAAATCCTTCGATAGGTTGAATCATGGCATACTACTATCAAAACTTCACCAGGTCGGAATGTCTGAACAGCTAATAACTGTCATAAAATCCTATATTTCTGGACGCATCCAATTTGTTCAATGTCTGGGTCTCAAATCACGTGTATTTTCTCAAACTTCCGGAGTTCCTCAAGGCTCTATTCTGGGTCCTCTTCTCTTCAACATTTTTGTTAACGATATCGTAACTAATATTGATGTAAAATATTTACTATATGCTGATGATTTAAAACTATTCCACACCATTAATAACTTGAATGATTGCCACTCTCTACAACGTAATATTAACCTATTAAATGATTGGTGCGCTGCCAACAAATTGCCTCCTTTCTCTAGAAAAGAGTCAATCAGGCAATTTAATTACACAAGGGAACAGCTATTTTGGTGTCGAGGTTTTTTGAGCTGATTCTATATCAATTTGATGTCCTGAATTCAAATAACGTATTAATTTTTACCCAGGAGCTTAAATTTTTAAGATATACAATTTTAGAGAAATATAAGTTACATTATTTTAACTCAAATCCGTAAGTGTAGTAAACAAAAGTAGATACGAAATTTTTATTTTAGTTATACAAAATACAATATTATGTCGTACTTACGAACAAAAAAAACATTGAAGAAATCAAATAGTCATTCAACACTTCGAAAGCTTCTTTTCCGCGACATTCTTGAATGTTTTTTTTATACAGTCCCTTTTTTAAATCCAGCAGTAATCTGCCATCATGTGCATGTCCCATCTTCCTTGGTAGCGGTCCTCCATAATTTTAATATCTTGGTAAAATCTTTCACCTTGTTCCTCCCTCATGTCTCCTAAATTTTCTGGAAAACGATCTAAGTGGTTGTGTAAATAGTGTATTTTAATACTCATATTGCACCCTAAGGATTTGAAACTATTAAGCATCTTGCTTACCATTTCAACATAGTTTTGAGCTTTATGTTTGCCCAGAAAATTTTCTACAACTGCAACAAATGATGTCCAAGCTTCTCGTTCAACTTGATTCATTGAATTTATGAAGGCAGGATCCTTAATTAATTATCTTATTTGTGGGCCGTCAAATATCCCTGCTTTGAGTTTTTCTGTGCTCAACTGATGCATTTTTACCCCTATATATGCAAGACATGACCCATTCTTATCAAGAGCCGTTACAAATTGCTTCATTAAGCCCAACTTTATAAGTAAGATTTTTTCTCTTTCAACCAAAGCGTCGTTAATGACATTCTTTTCCCCAACGTCCATGTTTTCTCTTTGAGGCCAATCTTTTCTAACCCAGTGGTGTGTTTTGTTCCTACTATCCCAGAGGCACAAGAAATACGGATATTTCGTGTAACCACTTTGCTGCCCAAGAAGAAAGTTTACCATTTTACACAAATCATCCATGATGTTCGTGATACTTTACCTTCTGCAAGACCAAAGCTACGGTATTATATTCTTCTTTCAGTTTCGTTGAGTGAGCTAGTGGTATTGAACCATATTTATTCCCATTATGTAGAAGGACCACATACTTTGATTTTCTTTTACTATACGGAGAATGGTCGCACTGCGCAGCTTTCTGAGTGCCTTTTAAAAGGAGATAGAAAACTCCGCCATTTTGAACCCTTATTACGTGTTGCCTACATCTTGAGGCAATATTTTTAATAGGTGCGTTTTAATCATCCGCTTCTGCTTCGGAATTGTCGGTTTTCTTGTTTTAATCTGACAGGTTAAAACGACTAAACCGACAATTCCGGAAGCAGAGGGGGATGATTAAAACGCACCTGATGTTTTGCTTGCTGCTGTCAGTGTCAGTGAATATTATTTTTGGAGTCACAATTTATTGCTAAAGAATCAGTTAGCTAACTCGGACCAGTTGAAAGTTCTATAATAACATCCACTCCAGGAAGACACATTCAGGATACGCAGAAGATTGCTGTTTTATTATAGGAGGTTGTCATATTTTGTATTATCCGTGTTGCGCAGTATATAAACTGGAACATTGAGATCAAAAGTGCCGACTCAGAGTGAGCGATCTGATTCTTTAGCTATAAACTGTGTCATAGGAATCAAAATGGCCGCGCCCTATGTTGGGACTGTCGGACCTCTCTCTTGCCCCGTATAGTAATCAAAGTATGTGAGAAGGACACATTTTAAACTTCGCTTTGAACTGTCAATAAATAGGCGCCAATCATCCGGAATATATTCAGAAAGTCCCATTTCTTTCATGAGTCCATTAATTTCGTGACAAAATACAAGATTGTCTTCTTGAGAAAAGAATGGTAGCAGATACTTTTCTCTCTTACAGTAAAAGGTAATTTTGGTTCCTTGTTCCAATAAATTTTTGTCTTTCAACCTAGAAGCCAGTACTTCAGAAGCTTTTTTCGATAAATTGAGATCCCTGGTGAGATCATTTAATTCATTTTGATTGAAGCGTTGAGGAACTGATGACGTCTCCTCATAGTCACTGTTAGTTTCATTAGCATCAGAACTTTTATTAGCATCAGACAGCGATCAGAGGGAAAATATTCGTCAGTGCGGGATAGGGCGTATTGCCGAGTCTACATTGGGATAAGTCCACTTACTGCGGTTATTTCAATTGATTCCTTTAGTATTTACTAAACATAAATAACAATCATTGAAGTGTTTTTTTTGGTTCTCTTCAAACCATTGGTACACCGAATTTTAGACTTTTTCTTTTCTCGGTAGTCCACTGCCGTAAATGCTCTGTACAAGTTTTACATACGAGATGAGGGGCCCACTTTTTGTCCTGATCACCAAGGTTAACTCCAAAATATCCAAGATACGCTCGCTTTACAAAGTCAGTAATATTTTTTCTGTTTTGTTGAAACATGTATTCTCCGCATATATAGCAAAACACATCAGGTTGATTTACACAACTTTTTCTTGAACTGGAACCTGAACTCATTTTAATTCTGTTCAATAACACAAAAACACGTAACATAAAATAACACGCCGAATTCGATCTACTCTCATTAGTAAGAACGCAAAAACTGACGAGACTTACCCGAGTTAGGGGATTAAAAGGGTCAGTTCAGGTACCTGATAGGCAATGGTTCCACTATTTATAGATTTACCTGGCATTTACTTAATTACAGACTGACAATAAAACCATTGTACCTACATTAATGAATATATAATAATTTTAGAACTCTCATAAATACTAAACCAAAAATTATCCTGGAAAGATCACATTAATCATCTCGTTAAAAAAAGTGAGAATGCTATAAATGTACTTTTCCTTTTCAAATACCAAATGGGGAGCGGATCCAAACATAGCCCTGATATTCTATAAAGCTCTCATCCGTTCAGTGCTTGACTATGGATGTGTACTATATGGAAATGCTAGCTTGAGTCAACTACAAAAAGTGTAAGTGATTAAAAATAAAAGTTTACGATTATGCCTAGGAACTTTACAAAGTACTCCTGTAAATGTATTAAGAAGTAGAAGCAGCAGAACCACCACTAGAGATTAGAAATGAATACTTAAGGAATATTTTTGTATCCAAATTACTGTCCCAGAACCGTACTAGAGAGCTGCAGGAACTAGACTAAAATAAATTATCCATATTGGAGATGTAAGAGGAAACCTCTTTTAATATCAAGTTTACAACGACTAAATAATGTTCAGCCCTTCCTTTAAAAAACAACAGTTGATGTATCTAAAAAAGTAGAGCTGATAGAGAAAAACGGATTGCATGTACATATTTAGCGTCCCAAATATAGTTAAAATCAGCTCTAAAATCTTAGGCACCAAAAAAAATATTTTTTTGTTGCCCTGTGTTATATACTTCAGGATGTTACGCTATCAAGGCCTGAGTTGATAAAAGATCTCGATGTCTACTACGATCCCAAGCTAACATTCGGTGCTCATATTGATAAGACGGTATCATCTTCTTTTCGGATCTTAGGGTTTCTAACTGGGAACATGAAAGATTTTAGAGATTTTCATACAATGAATTTACTATTCTCAGCTCTTGTTCGATCTAAACTTGAATACGGATGCATTATTTGGATCCCAATTTATAATAATCAAATAACTCACCTAGAAAGAGTTCAGCGGAGATTTTTTAAATCTGCCACTTTTATTTAAGATAATATATTTCCCGCTAGAAGCACTCCACAAGAATATTTTATGATCGATTCGAATCCTGCAGCCTTGTAAAACGCAGAATAATGCTCTCACATTTTTACACAAAGTTATTAATGGGTCTGTTGACTCAACATGATCGACTTTTACGTTCTTAGGCTAAACTCCAGAAATTTACATATATTTCACATTCCGCCTCATAGGACAAATATATATAAATCAAGCTGTGTCAAATTATCTCTTAGAACCGATTCTGGACATATTTCACAGTTGCAGCGGTTCAGTTAAACATTTATGCTCATAGTTCATACCTTCTGTATCTTTTTTTTTGCTGTTATTGTGAGCCATCTCCCAATTACTTGTATGGTTTAAAAGTTTGTCTACTACAAATGCACCTTTTGTTTTTTGTTCTTCGTTTTTTGTTATTTGTGTGTTCGTGAAGACATTCTTTCAACGAACCAATTGTTATTTATTATTGTAAAATATATTTTCTGTTTGTTAACCCTTGTCATGTAATTGGGGTTAGCCCCGTGCCCAGACAACACACCAAATCCCAGATATATCCACAGAATATCTTTTGTGGATATCCAGTAAGTATATCCACAGGATATCAGAAATATTCCGTGGATCTAATATGGATATCCAAATGCCCGTCTATATCCAGAATATAGAAGATATCCTAATGGATATTCAGCAAAATATCTAATGCATATCTTCCAGAAAATACAAGAAATCCCAGAGATCCACAAAATATATTTTGTGGATATTCAATATATCCAATATGGATATCCAACCAAATGTCCGTCTATATCCCAGGATATAGAAGATATTCGGATATTCAGCAAAATATTTTATGGGTATCTTTAGTAGAGGTTCATAAGTAACCAATGATTATTGAATAACGTCGAAAGAAAATAGCAGAGATAAAAAATATTTTCAACACTCTGCCTTTGATTTTACCCACTAAGGAGAAAGTCATCCTTATTAGGACTTCAGCAATAAATGAAAATTCTCGACTCCAGTCTCTAATGGAGTGGTTAGGACACACATTTCAATCGAACTCAATTACGGCGGGTCGAGCATGAGTAGATGCGATAGTGGTATTCGCCATCTATACTTAGTAAGCAGAATCAAATAACATCTAGTGGATATCCACGATGGTTTGCGTTCGCGCCTAGACTTTGATATATTTAAAAAATCTTAAAAAAATAAATTTTAAATATCTGAACGGTACTATTAGCCACAATGGCGAGCACAATGGCGTAATTTTTTAATAATTTGCTATATAATTACTATTATTTATGGACATTTGCATGTCTATAGATTACATTTCATGGATATAAAATAGATATCTACCATGGACTGGACATTCAGTGGATATTGGGATGTTCAGTAGATATCCAAAGGATTTGGTGTGCTGTCTGGGTGGACATTGTATAATAAATAAATAAATATTTAAATCTCATGAATATTGGAGATTTTAATAAAATAATAGACATTGAAAACTCTTTCAAATCTATTAATAAAATAATGCAGTTCTTTTCCATTTTAACAACATATCGTGGACTACATCAATTTTAACCAGACTTCGAAGCAAAAAGTTTACTTTGAATGATGATTTAAAAAAAATAATTTTTGATTTGGCTTTTAGAAATCTACTTAGAAGATGAAAATAACAAAAAAATAGTAATTGCTTATGCTAGAGGAAATACCGTATTACGTGGAAATGAGAACATGGATCTAGGAGGATCCCTTCTCTTTGGTGGTCCAATAATAGATTCCAAAGAACCAAGTAGAAGCAGCAACCTAAAATCTATTAAAAAATCTCAACCTCTGAGTAACGATTTTCATACCTACAGGATAAAGTGGACACCTCGTAAGTTCAAATTAAATAAATTATTTTTAATATTCTTTAAAAAATTTCTTGCATAGAGAAATATTGTCTTCAATGCGCGTTTGTATCTATATTGCCAGAGCCGCTAGACTTCATACCGCGGGCAAGGAGTAAACAAAGCACAGGGTTGGCTTTTGCAGCGACAATATAGAATACAGAGGCCTTTATTTTTTTATTATTAAGATTACTATTCTTTTATTTTAGAGGAAATTGAATTATTCTTAGATGGAGATAGATATGGATTAATCAGTGCAGATATACTGGAATCGACTGGATTCGGCAATGATTCGTCTAAGGTTAGTTGACTTTTATTTATATGACTTTTCAGCCTGAAATTAAAATAGCAAATAATAGATATTATTACTTGATCTCCAAAAATTTTAAATTAAATGAAACTTTACTACACTTAGTGCCACACTTTGTGCCACGGAGTAATCTTATATTACAGGATACGAAATAAGATCGATCTTCACCATTCTGTATGGTTTTGGATGTGGTAAATCTACAGATCCCGATAAGCAGAGAGCCATGGAGGGCCCCGGGACATTTTTATGAAAAATCAAGTCCTTTCTATGTTGCATTTCTAAAAAAAGGTGATAACCTTGTATTTTTCGTAAACCAGGTCAGCCCTTCTAAACAAATAAAACGTCCACAGCTAAAGCTGCCAGTAGCCCCTTCTGCTTGTGCCCGACTCCTCCTTCTCAATGGGCCCGCAACCAGTGTATGCGATGGATTAAACAAAATCCACTTTATGTATATTTACCGACTCAGCAAAGGCATTTGATACTTTTTTCCCCAAAACTTAAATAACCTAAATTATTATGGGTTCAGAGAAAAATATTTGATTTAATTAGCCTTTTTCCTGGGAAGATTTAAAAAAGATCCGCTAGGGGCAGCACCGGTGGGGGTACATATGTTTTGAATTTTCTATTAACAACAACGTCAAACGTATGGATTTATAATGGAAATGAACGGAAAATTAAAGGGAAGTAAAAAGCTCAAAGTCTGTCGACCACATAAATTTATTAGGTTGCAAGCGCTTTCGACCTAAAAGGTCATCATCAGGCAAAACATTTTTTGTAAGTGAGTAGGTACAATCTGCAATAATAATTTAAGGTATAACAAAACGTTTTTTATAGAAATGCTAGGTGTCTTACCACTATGTATCCACAGAAAAATAAGTTTTCGGGGCTGCCGAACTCGATTCTGATATTGGAATTATCCGGGGGTGGCTCTGTGGGGGTGCTCGGGGGGTAAATTGGGGAGAAATGGCAGCGTGCATGAAAATCGCTTTAAACTCGTTACTCAGGGGTTTTTGGGGATGCCAAATTCAATTCTGGCCTTGGAATTACCCAGGGTCGCTCGAAAGCAGCTCTGCAGGGGTATCCGGGGAGTCATTCTGGGGAGGAAATTGCGTTGTCCGTGGGAAGCGCTCCAAACTCGTTACTCGGGGGTTTTGGGGATGCCAAATTTAATTCTGGCATTAGATTTCCCCGGGGACACGGGGGTGGCTCAGTGGGGGTGCGCGGGGGGTGAATTGGAGGAGAAATGACAGCTTGCATGAAAATAGCTCCAAACTCGTCAGTCGGATGTTTTCGGGGATGCCGAATTTAATTGACATTAGAATTTGATTGAATATTAAATAAATCAATATTACACATATTATAAAAACAATTGCTTTGGAAGTCTTTTATACCTAGAAAGTGGATTGAAAAAGGCACAAAGCTATAAAGAGAGTAGAGTTTCGTTACAACGGGGACCGGTGTGAACAGAAATATTATGTATCGACTAAAGAAAAAAAAAATATGGGTCAAGTTCCCGCGCGCAGTCGGCGTCAGTTTGTGTGGCATCAGTATTACATCTGTCGTTAAGGACCACGTTGCTTTTTCGTTTTATGTAAATACAGTGCTACAGTAATCAAGTTACTTGGATTTTGGACCTTTTTTTGGTGTTTGAGTTCTGTCCGGCACTCTTATACCCCGTTAGTTTTTTGTTATACGTAAATATAGTGCTAAAATAATCAAGTTTTTTGGATTTTGAAACTTTTTTTGGTGTTCGAGTGGTGTCTGGCACTCTTGGGCCACGTGAATTTTTCGTTATACATGAATACAGTGCTAAAGTGATCAAGTTTTTTGGATGCATGCTTCTAGATAAACTTAGATGGAAACAGGGCCAGAACATGTTAGAGATATCTAACGGGTATGTTATATACATAAAGTGAGCATTTGGGAACAGAGTTTTTGTTGTTTTCGATGGATACGACCAAATTATCACTAAATCGACGGAAAGAAACCGGCGATGTATGCATAAAAATTCCGCCACCGTACGCATGGCTTTAGATTCCTGGACGGTCATGACGTTGTTTGCAAGTGTAACTTGGGGACAAGTTTCTAGGGAATAGCAAAAATAGGTCCCAGCTCATTAAATTTCTCCAGGAGGAATTGAAACAGACTAATATAATGTCTCAGCAGAGTGTAGCTGATGCGGATGTTGATATTGTGCTCAAGGCTATTGAGACTGCTTTTGGAAGCTAAAACAGCATTCCCCTAGAGCCCCTGATGTGTATTCTTCCGAGAGCTTAGCATCCAGAAGCGCGTGCATTAGGTTTCATATATTATTTCTACATGCTTTCACGGGATACGACAAAATCTCAGCATTTTTCTATCGAGAGAAAGTGCAGGGATAGATATAGAATGGAAAAATGAAGTCAAAAATCTAGGCCTAACCCTGGACAACAAACTTCTCTGGAACACACATGAGAAGGAAGTAGTAAATAAGGCCACAAAAGCCCTAATCTAATGGTATGCAGAAACATTGCAGGTAAACGATGAGGATGTAACCCAAACATACTGCGATGGATGTATACTGCAATAGTGAGACCAATCATCACTTACGGGGCTATAGCCTGGAGTAACAGAACTAGTTTAGCTACTACGAGAGCCAATATCTCAAAAGTACAAAGACTAGCCTGTGTTTGCATTACTGGTGCAATGAGAACCTGTCCTACGGCCGCAATGGAGATGATCTTAAACCTCACCCCTCTACATTTGATGATAGAGAATGTGGCAAAAAGGACACGATATAGAATGATCAGGAACGGAGTAATCAGACGAGAGTCTACTTGCTTCAGGACTATAGATACCTAGGACATGCCCCAGGATGAAATGCAAAAGAAGTACAGTTTTGTGAAAAACTTCAAAACCACAGAGCTGGGCTGCAAGAAAGAATGGAGCCAAGAATCCATCACGCTTGCAACCGAAAGTGCTATTCAGTGGTATACGGACGGGTCCAAAACCATAGAAGGAATTGGAATAGGAGTGTATGGGCCGAGAACCAAGCACTCCGAAAGCTTGGGAAAATAGCCAAGCATCTTCCAGGTGGAAATTCACGCCATCTAGAAGTGTATCCAGTTTAACATCGAGAGAAACTATCATAGACAAGAGATTATCATCATGTCCGATAGTCAAGCAGCCATCAAAGCGCTGAGCTCTTACGTAATCAGCTCAAAAATGGTCTGGAGATGCCTAGAACAATTGAATGAGCTAGGCGAGAAAAATAGAGTTACTCTCACTTGGGCCCCGGGACATAACGGAGTACAGGGTAACGAGATTGCAGATAGTCTTGCAAGGAAAGGGGCTCAAACACCAATTGAATTGGGCATCCCTGAAAACCCCCGAGTAACAAGTTTGAAGCGCTTCCCATGGACTATGCAATTTCCCTCCAGAATGACCCCCCGGATACCCCCGCAGAGCCGCCCCCGAGCGTCCTCAGGTAATTCCAATGCCAGAATTGAATTAGGCATCCCCGAAAACCTCCCGAGTAACGAGTTTGGAGCGATTTTCATGTACGCTGCCATTCCTCCCCCAATTCACCCCCCGCGCACCTCCACAGAGCCACCCCCGGCTAATTCTAATGCCAGAATCGAGTTCGACAGCCCCGAAAACCTCTGAGTAACGATTTCAGAGCGATTTTCCGAGTTTCCAGTCGTTCCTCTAATGGTGCAAGTAATGATGAATTGGAAAATGCATTTTCCGGCCCAGAAGGCATTTTTCAAAAAATGGCCAAACCAGACGATATAGACTTCTTTTCTGGGACCTTCCTGAACACAATGCAAAAAACCGCATCTCGATATCTGCCGTCCCTGAAAATTTCCGCTATTTTTCCTAACTTCCCTGGGCTATAAGTACGATTAAGAAAGTTTGTAGAAAAGTCTCATTTAAACGAAAATGGTTGGTACTTACTTAACCCATTAGTGCCCAACAGCGCCCTATCATAAAAAAAAATATCCTCCTCATACTTGTCCCAGACAACACACCAAATCCGAGAGATATCCACAGAATATATTTTGTGGATATCCAATATATCCACAGGATATCAGAAATATTCCGTGGAACTAATATGGATATCCAAATGTCCGTCTATATCCAGAATATAGAAGATATCCTATGGATATTCAGCAAAATATCTAATGAGTATCTCCAGACAATACAAGAAACCCCAGATATATCCATAGAATATATTTTGTGGATATCCAACCAAATGTCCGTCTATATCCCAGGATATAGAAATTCAGATAAATATTTTATAATTATTTTTAGTAGAGGTTCATAAGTAACCAATGGTTATTAAATAACGTCGAAAGAAAATAGAGGTAAAAAATATTCCCAACAATCTGCCTTTGATTTTGCCTACTAAGGAGAAAATCATCCTTATTAGGAATCTTCAGCAATAAATGGAACTTCTCGACTTCAGTCTCTAATGAAGTCTGTTTGTGAAACAATGTCGATCAAACTCAATTACAGCGGGTTAAGCATGAGTAGATACGAAAGTGGTATCGCCATCTATACTTAGGAAGCAAAATCAAAAATTACATCTAGTAGATATCCACGATGGTTTGCGTCCGCGCTTAGACTTTGATATATTTATATTTATAGTGGATGTCCATGGGATATTGAATACACCTTAAAAAAAATTAATTTTAAATATCTCAACGGTACTATTAGCCACAATGGCGAGTACAATGGCGTAATTTTTTAATAATTTGTTATATAATTACAATTATTTATGGACATTTGCATGTCTATAAATTACATTTCATGGATATAAAATAGATATCCACCATGGACTGGACATTCAGTGGATATTGGGATGTTCAGTAGATATCCAAAGGATTTGGTGTGCTGTCTGGGGTACTTACAATAAAAAATGTTTTTTTCTTTTATACTTTTTAAAAAATGTGTGTACCCAAATGAGTACAATGGGATAATAAGTTTTACCAAAAATACTTTATATTTATTATTTTGTATGTCAATTATTATAATACTGTAAAGCAACAACTAAGAATGAAATATTCTGAAACACTCTCGTTCAATGCACAGAGTCACATTACATTTTTCACATATCCATTTAGCCCTCATATGACATTGACGACATCTTAGCTGGTCTCAATTTTTTTGGGGAAATATCCAACCGGATCTTCCAATATACTTCTTGGTAATGAACCAGAAGGCCTACTAGATACAGATCTTCTTTGTACAGCCTTATTATAGGAGCGTAGATAGTGACGAGTAATGCTTCTAACAAATTGCAAAAGATACACTTTGTCATTGGGGTAAATAATTTTATGTAATCTCCAGGCATTTACAATAGTTACGTTTATCATGTGAGTAAAGAGAACCCACCACCATTTTTTACCGTGGACAGCAATTCTATAATTATTGACCCCTTGATCTAACAGATTAACACCGCCCATACGGTGATTATAGTTTTTAAAAAGTTGCGGTTGGGGTACTGAAATTTTCTCTTTTCTTTTCGAAGACCATCTCTTGACTTGTGCTAAAGGTTCGACTGAATCATAGTTTGTAACCATCGTTACTGCACTATTATCATTCCATCTAACAAATAGAAGATGGTTTCTTTTATCGTATTGAAAATCAGAGAATCCTCGATCTTTTTTTTTTATTTTCTTGGCAGGTACAAGAGGACATTTTTTTGTACGATTATCCCGTACAGTACCAGTAGCTCGTATTCCATGCTTTCGAAGTGTATTTAAAAAATCATGGCTTGCAAAATAATTGTCGAAAAATAGGACATGATCACTTGGGGTATCAATTACTTTTACAAAATCAAGAACCACTCGTGAACCTAGTGGAAGCGTGGTTTTAATTTTAGTTGGTCCTTAACTAGATGACGGTTTAGCTCCACAATATGTATCGAATGAATAGCAATATCCATCCGAGCTACACAACATCCAGTCTTTGTACCCTAAATGAACAGGTTTACCTGTTATAAATTGCTTCGCAGGGTGATGAACATAGTATTTAACCATAGCTTCGTCTATAGACAAGAATTTGTGAAAAAATCCCCATTGTTGAAACTTTGAATTGAGAATGTTCATAAGTGGTCGAATCTTGTACATTTTGTCCTCACTATCAAGTGTTCTGTTATCAGCTAAATGTAATTTTTTTTATTTCTGTAAATCTGTTTCGACTAATTGCATTCGAAATAAAAGGAACTCCAACATCCTCATCAAGATTCCAATAAAGGCGCTCACGAGGTAATTTATGGTACTCAGAGAAAATAAGCACACCAACAAAACATTTTAACTCTTCTTTAGTTGTTACAAAGTTATGATTGTTTTTAGATGCCGCATAAATATTGGTTTGATCGACAATATGTTGGACAACTTTGTCATCAAATAGTATTTCGAAAATCTCTACAGCATTTAGCCCTCTTAGATCTTGGCGAAGTTGTTCTAACCGATAATCGGCTCCATCTGTGCTAGGCAACTCTAATACCGTAGGTACTTGCGTCCAATTAGGGTTCCCCTTTAGAAGATGCCATCTCTGTAACAGTGGGGTATTATCCAAATTTTCAGTCGTATTGTCTGGTTGTATAATTTGAAGATCTGTCAGTGACAGGTCGTCGTCTTCTTCTTCTTCTTCAAAATCAATCCCATTGAGGTTAATTTCCATCTCACCTGGAATAGCTTCTGGTAAGTTTGCAACTAATAAATCGTCTTCATCGAATTCTTCCTCGTCCGTTTGATAATCCACTTCTGGTGGAATTATAACGACATCAAGTTCTGAATTACCAATATTTGCCTGTTCAACAGCATCAACTTCAGAAGCTAAGGTTTTGAATCTTTTACCATAAAAAGAGCTAGTTGGAATTTCGTTGACGTCCATTGTAAAATGTTCCTGGAAAAAATATCCAGTGTACTCATGTGCCCAATGTACTCAAACGAGTACACCGAGATTTACATCAGAATAACAAACAAACCTAATATCGTAGAACTATTTACATATGATCATAATGTTGACACATAACCTATAAAACATTTTTAACACATTTATCCTATAACGCTTATTTACAATGTCGGTCATAGTGTATAATGTCTACTCTCCTCTAATTACATCAACAACACGTAGAAGCGCGGCACTGATACGTACTGCCAGATCTAACAGAATAGCAATTTTTGAAAACGACTACCACAGTTATCGTAAAATAACACTTGTAAACAATGACTTTATGTTACATTTACAAAATACGACGTTGTGTGGCGTTGCGATCGCGATATTGTAAGTGCACTCAAATGAGTACACTGGGCGTTAATGGGTTAAATTGTAAAGAACAACTTGATTTTTGTTCACTGTACCACAGATCACGTTTGTTTCGTTAACTGCACACGTGTTTAGTTGTGCTGTCGTGAAAAGCTTGCGCTATCATTGTCATGAGGACACTTTCACTAATGTTTTCGTTTTTTGCGCATGCACGTTTTACGGTTTTACTTCTTCGGGCATTTAAAGCATAAAACACTTAAAACACTAATTTTCGCGCATACGGGTCCGAACAATACTTGGTATATATTTATTTCTGTTTTGACTGTCCCGCTCACACTCACGAGGTTGAATGCATATAGAATGTTGGTTGAACGCTTTCCAATACGCTTTGCTACAGTCAAAGTAAACACTACAGATTATCTTGTTATAAATTGAAATTGTGTTATTAAATATTACAGGTCCATTTAGCATTGGGCGTGGGAGTTGGTGGAATTACAGATTTTCCTGATAATTATCAAGCAGGGTACCCAAAGCCTTGGAGAAACAGAGAAACACAACAGATGTACAAGTTCCTGGAAGCTAAAGACAAATGGTTGCCTAGTTGGAACAGCGGGGGTCTCCTCCAAGTAGAATACGTTAAAATAAGAGCAATTTAACTGTCGATATTACAAAATAAAATATATTAGTAACATTTTCCTTTTATTTTCAACAGACTCGTTCCAAATTCAGAATAGTTACAATTTTCGTAGTATTAATTTATTCAAAAATATAAACCAAAAATATTAAATATTTTTCACTAGAACTTACGGATAATATCTTTTCAAACAAAAATACTTAGTAAATTTAAAATGAACAAGAATAACTTATTAAAATTCACCTACATTTTGAAGCATTTAAATACGTTAAAATACTGGATAAATCAATAATTTCTACGAACATAAATATTATAAAACTATCAAAGAAGAGGAAGACTCAACGCGTTATTAGTAAAAGTCCCGTTGACATCTTCTGAAGAGAGACTAGCAGGGACTGTGCTGACGGTAGCAGTGACTACAGCATCGCCATCTTTTGTTTGGTAAATTATACCATTGTTCATACCAACTGTAAATGAAAAATAGATATTATTTATGATTGAAATATAGTTGTTATAACTAGGCAGAGAAGTGACAGATTTACTGCTGCGGCCAAAATTCAATGAGTAAATCTGTTTTTTAGAGTGTAACTAGTTATTTAAATAACAATAAATTTTTAAATATTAATAGAAAGATAAATAAAAATATATAAATAAAAATAAATGAAAATAAATAAATAAACATAAATTAAAATAAATGAAAATAAATGAAAATAAATGAAAATAAATGAAAATAAATGAAAATAAATGAAAATAAATGAAAATAAATGAAAATAAATGAAAATAAATGAAAATAAATGAAAATAAATGAAAATAAATGAAAATAAATGAAAATAAATGAAAATAAATGAAAATAAATGAAAATAAATGAAAATAAATGAAAATAAATGAAAATAAATGAAAATAAATGAAAATAAATGAAAATAAATGAAAATAAATAAAAATAAATGAAAATAAATAAAAATAAATGAAAATAAATGAAAATAAATGAAAATAAATAAAAATAAATGAAAATAAATGAAAATAAATGAAAATAAATGAAACTAAATGAAAATAAATGAAAATAAATGAAAATAAATAAAAATAAATAAAAATAAATAAAAATAAATAAAAATAAATAAAAATAAATAAAAATAAATAATAATAAAAAATAAATGAAAATAAATGAAAATAAATGAAAATAAATGAAAATAAATGAAAATAAATAAAAATAAATGAAAATAAATGAAAATAAATGAAAATAAATGAAACTAAATGAAAATAAATGAAAATAAATGAAAATAAATAAAAATAAATAAAAATAAATAAAAATAAATAAAAATAAATAAAAATAAATAATAATAAAAAATAAATGAAAATAAATGAAAATAAATGAAAATAAATGAAAATAAATGAAAATAAATGAAAATAAATGAAAATAAATGAAAATAAATAAAAATAAATGAAAATAAATAAAAATAAATGAAAATAAATGAAAATAAATGAAAATAAATAAAAATAAATGAAAATAAATGAAAATAAATGAAAATAAATGAAACTAAATGAAAATAAATGAAAATAAATGAAAATAAATAAAAATAAATAAAAATAAATAAAAATAAATAAAAATAAATAATAATAAAAAATAAATGAAAATAAATGAAAATAAATGAAAATAAATAAAAATAAATAAAAATAAATAAAAATAAATAAAAATAAATAAAAATAAATGAAAATAAATGAAAATAAATGAAAATAAATGAAAATAAATGAAAATAAATGATAATAAATGAAAATAAATGAAAATAAATTAAAATAAATGAAAATAAATGAAAATAAATGAAAATAAATGAAAATAAATGAAAATAAATGAAAATAAATGAAAATAAATGAAAATAAATGAAAATAAATGAAAATAAATGAAAATAAATGAAAATAAATGCAAATAAATGAAAATAAATGAAAATAAATGAAAATAAATGAAAATAAATGAAAATAAATGAAAATAAATGAAAATAAATGAAAATAAATGAAAATAAATGAAAATAAATGAAAATAAATAAAAATAAATGAAAATAAATGAAAATAAATGAAAATAAATGAAAATAAATGAAAATAAATGAAAATAAATGAAAATAAATGATAATAAATGAAAATAAATGAAAATAAATGAAAATAAATGAAAATAAATGAAAACAAATGAAAATAAATGAAAATAAATGAAAATAAATGAAAATAAATGAAAATAAATGAAAATAAATGAAAATAAATGAAAATAAATGAAAATAAATGAAAATAAATGAAAATAAATGAAAATAAATGAAAATAAATGAAAATAAATGAAAATAAATGAAAATAAATGAAAATAAATGAAAATAAATGAAAATAAATGAAAATAAATGAAAATAAATGAAAATAAATGAAAATAAATGAAAATAAATGCAAATAAATGAAAATAAATGAAAATAAATGAAAATAAATGAAAATAAATGAAAATAAATAAAAATAAATGAAAATAAATGATTTTCATTTATTTTCATTTATTTTCATTTATTTTCATTTATTTTCATTTATTTTCATTTATTTTCATTTATTTTCATTTATTTTTATTTATTTTTATTTATTTTTATTTATTTTTATTTATTTTTATTTATTTTTATTTATTTTTATTTATTTTTATTTATTTTTATTTATTTTTATTTATTTTTATTTATTTTTATTTATTTTTATTTATTTTTATTTATTTTTACTAAATCCTCGAGCTAAAGTTATCGTGCTCTAATCAGATTGTTATTTCCAAAATTGTCTCATCAAATTGATCTTGAAATATTATCGAGATTTAGACGCAACAAAAATAGTTGACTACATCAAGGTCTTGGTATATAACCCTTGAATATTTATTATGTCGAGATTAGAAAATCGTATAATTTTCGTGAACAAACCACATTTTAATTCTCTGATCCATCAAAATAGTAGTCATTTATTTTGTTGTCAATAACAATTTTGATTTAATTAGTGTATTGACGTTTATCTTTAAAAAATACAAACTAAATGTAAGCAAGCGTGTAAAAAGTACAAGATTTTATTGAACTGGATAAGCTAAGTTTATCAATGTCACTAGAAATAATAAAATAAATGAACCAATAATTTCTGCCTAAAAGTAAAACTTTAAACTTTTACATACAAATGTCAATATAATCCTTCAATATAATACAACCAAAATATCCCGAATTTTCAGAAATTAATATCCTAGTTTTTTGAACTTACCCATCCATTTCTACTTTAAATTCTAATATAAATTGGGATATAAACTTACCTCCTAACTGATTTTGAAATTCATTTTCTTGCACTCTTCGTCCATGCTCGTCTAAAAATTCTATAGCGACATCGTGAAGTAGCCCCGATTGAGTAAAATCTCCAGATATCGGCATGTCTTCGATATTTAATTCATTGTTCGAGGTTTCAGCTAAAAAACATTAATAATTAATTCTGCTGGACAATGTATGGAAAACCACTTTCCCGAAGAAAAATTTAAAATTTTCCGACATGATTCGACAGTAGTAAAATTGGATGAGTTAGACCCATCGATTTTCGTAACAGACTGCCGGACAAAACGTATCTAGGTTTTTTCTTTTTTATTCAAAATCAAAAACTAGATAATTGATTTTATCGTCCAGGGAATCTAATTATTAGATTATATTTATAGTTTAGGAGCCCACTGCAAAATGTTGGGTCGATCACTAATATGGCTAAATTTTCATGAAAACGTCAGGTAATATATTGTACAATAGTAATCCGTCGGCTGCCGCCCCAATATCGTTTGCGTTTTACGTTATAAAAAATTATTAACAATTGAAAATATGTGCCACCCTCCACCCATCGCTTTTTTGCCAAATTTTCTACTTAATCGATAGATAGTAATTAATAGTATATTACATAACAAGTGTGGAAAGTGCAATATACTTTCCAACGAGTTGTGTAAACTATTTTTCCTACGACCGTACACAAAATCCTTAAAAAAATTTCTTTTTTAAATGAGAAAGTCAATTAAACCATATCACACATGTACTGAAAAGTATATCACACATGTGTTGAAAAGAATATCAACACATGTGTTGAAAAGTAAAAAAATCCTCCAAAATATTTTTTATTTTGTAACAGTAGAAATGACAAGAACTAATACAATGTTTAAAAAATATTTATAACTAAAGCAGAACAAGAACTAATATAGCAATAAGAAACATTTATAAATAAAGCAGAGATACTAACAGAATAGTTTATAAAAATTTACATCTAAAGTAGAGATAACTAGTGGAATGGATGAAAAATATTTGTAACTATACTAGAGATAACTAATATAATAATAAGGAAATGTTTGTAACTAAACTGTATGAACTGAATAATTATTAATACTTTTGTTTTACTTTTTTCTGGGACGTTATAAAAGTTAAAAGTAAAATTGTTATTATAACATTTACTAAATTGCAGTGGATTTTGTAATGTTGCATTATTATTATTCTCAGTGGTTCCCCTAATATATGTGTTTATTGTCTCTTGTGGATCTGCATTAATTTGTTGCTGTATAGATGAAGTACACAAATTTGCACTGTATCTGGGTTGTGTAGTTTCAGCATTTTGTTCAGAGTATTGTTCAATGTTTTTACATGCAACTTCTTCGTTGAATGTGCTTGTGCTGCGAATGGTGTTCATTATTTTATTAGCAGTCATTAACCTATTAGTTGCAGAGTCATCATGTACTGCTCGGCCGTGGTAGAGAATTTCCATCCCCCGTGGCGCTTTAATGCAGCAAGATCTGCTCCTGCATCTACCAAAATTGTTGCAGAAGAAGCCTAAAGGTGTGGCCAGTATATTGTTCTGGATTCAGAAGATTTAAAAACTTTGCCACTACCTTTGGCACAGTGCCTATTTTGTTTATACCCACTACTTGTTGGGTGCATTTTTTATTTTTATAATTAAGAAAATAAACTTAATTGAGTGGTTGGTGGCCTAAGATTGGCATATTTTTTAAATATAGTATAAAACGGTCCAGTAATCGTGAATTTTCTGGATACTCGGTTTTTTGTGTTATCTATTTTTATCACAGCTGCTGTACCCAAATCCTCTATATCGTTTATAGCCATCTGTGTGAGATCCTGCTTTCGGCATGCTCCTGATATTCCAAGGATAAGTACAACCTTAAATAATTAAAAATACTCACACATTGAACAAAATTATAGATATTAAACTTGCTCACCTTTGTAAATAAATATAATTCATCTGGAGCTGTTTCTATGAAATTATTTATTTCTTGTTGCGACAGGACTTTGGCTTTTTTTGGTTTATAGCCATCACTTTTTCTCTTTAAGAATGCGTTTAATTTTAGGTACTTGGAAATATCAACATTGTGTTTAATAGACAGAGTAGTTCTCAACATTGAGTACTCTGTGTCTACAAAGTCGAACTTTGTACTTTTGATGATAATTCATTCATATAGGCCAGTAGAACCTTTTCAGAAAACGAACTCTTTATATGTTTCCTTTGTCTCCATTTAATGAATTGATCATAAGCATATTGATGTTATGTTATGTTGAAAATGGGGTGTTTGGGCAGGCCCATGACACTCCCTGGGCGGGAAAAAGACACGCAGCTTTTACTGCGCTGACGTTTTCGGGATATAACCTATCACTTGTCATAAATCCGGTTAAAAACTCGCTACCATGCGCAGGCAATCCATATTTCGTACACAAATACAAACTTTTGTTTACATTTTATCGAAGTAGTTTTTGTAATACATTCACAGCTTAAAAACGGAAAATTTGTTGTTTTGATAGTGAATTTAGATCAAAAATACCCCAAATACACTTTAGTGTGTGTTTTATCCTTATTGTTACGTATTATTGCTCGTTTTATTTGAGGACATTGTAATAAATAGAGTACTAGAAGTAATCAAGCTAAAAAGGTGTCTTATAAGAAGAAAATACATTGCATTCGACTGATTTATGTTTAATATGTTTTCGTAAAGTATTTCCAACATGCTAGTTCCTTGAATGGTTGTAAATTGTAAGTGTATAAGTGATAGAAACTGATCTAGTGCTTTGTGCTTCGTTTTTTTTTTTGTGTTGGTGTCCCAGCCCAGCATTCCTAGCCAGCAGTAGTAACAAAAACATTAACATTGTCTACATTCAACCCGTTTACATGTACATGATTTATCAGCTAAAAGCAGAATACAATAATAGTTCTCTGCCAAATGTAAACAACGCTACAAGGAAAATTGCTCATGTATAAATTCAACAATTAAATCAAAATATATTATTTTTAAAGGACTTATATCAACTATTATGTTAATTATAAATATTATAATATAAATATTTGTAACAAAATAATAGTTGTGTATTAATAAATCAGTTACTACTCCAAAAAATATATTGTTTATCGATTATCAGGTATCAAAAATGATATGTTTCTTATTATAATTGTAAATAAAAACAACACTTTTTATCCGTCCATTTAACACTTACAAACATATGAATATTTTAAGTTGTAAGGATCCATAGCCTCTTAATTTTTTACATTAGACACAAGACCTGTGATGTCACATTAAATTGTGAATATGAGATAAAGGATTTTGAAGTTGTCTTTCAGTCTAATTTGAAGTTTATTAACCATTTCTTACACATAACTAAAATAACAATAAAAGCTTTGTGTTTTTAAATCAGAAATACAAAAAAAATTTAGAATTACCACCAAAATTAGATTATATAATGCCTTACTAAGACCCCATCTTGAGTATGTTTCACAAATATGGATGCCCTTGAAAGCCACACGTATTGATCATATTGAAAAAGTACAAAAAATATTTTTACCGTACCTTTATGCCATAAACAATACTTGTACCTTTATAATGTCTCATATAAAACTATGCTCTATAGTTTTAAGATTAAATCTCTTTTACAAAGAAGAAAGCAACAGGCTGTGATATATTTTGTACTCTATTTTAAATAATATTAAGTACAAAGATTGTGATTTGATTGACTATATAAATTTTAATGTGGCAAAGATTAATCTAAGAATCCCAAGTAACAAAAAATTATTTAGTTTAGATTCAAGTAGTATATTTCCTTTTAACAAGATAATGGCTGTTACCAATGAGTTTTTTAGCGAGGTCCAAATAGATATCTTTAATGTTAGCCTAAAAAAGTTGAGGACTGTACTAAATTAAGTTCACTAGATATAAAGGTTTGTTTTGTTTATAAAAGTTCTTGTTACTTAACTCTACATGTAACTACTATTATTTTTTTATAGTATCCAATAAATAAATTATACCTTATGGCTGCTTTCAAACAATTCTGTGTGTAGTCACTCAGTTTAAAGTTAATTTTAAATTAATGAGTTTAATAAGAATGTCAAATAGTGATATGTATAGTGTCTATGAATTTGCTGTGTGTAGTAAATGGCAAATAAACATAACTTTGATATTTTTATTACAAGTGTAAAAACTACGCAAACCATATACATATAGTTCCCATTTTTAAATAAATTTATAATAAAAAGTAACGATTTTAGTCTGCCATACTTGAACTCATTCACTAAAACAAGTCACTGAGTATATATTTGTAAAAAAAACTACACTAAATATGTCTCCATTATAAATTTTTATATTTAAAACTACATAGATTTTGCAGTAAGTACCTAAATAACGTATAGAATAAATTTCTACAACATAGAAATGTTTTAGATTAGAGTAATTCTTAAGAAATAAAGCAAAACCTCTATTTTGTTACTCTAACCTTGTGTGTTATATATTTTCCTTGACAAGCTAATGTTATATTTTGAACTAAAAGTAATTAAACTTTTCACTAAAAAGTAATATTTCACATATATAAAAAAAATTTAAAACGGTTCTGTTTCTCACATTTGCGAAGACTGCCCTGATATCTAATCTATTTTCTTCTTCAAAGCAATTAAGTTGTTCAACCGTTGTCTATAAAGGTATCTCACATCTCGCTCATACACACAAATTTGAAAAGCAGCAGAACAAAAATTCAACTAACCAGGTATACCAAGTCCGTGTAAAGAAAACTTTTCATATCCCGAAAACGTCAAGTGTCAACTAAAATTTCTACTTTTAAAGATCAAACGTGCCGCCTCAGAGTGCCAATACTGATTGGTATATATACTGGGGTTTGGGAGTGTGCGCACAGTTGACGTTTATTTGACATCTGTTATTGCCTCTGGTTGGAACACGCGAGTTTACGATTAAAGCTAGAGCGTCTCGCTTTCATGTATTCTTTGAATATTTGTTATTCTGTTGTTTTTATAAATATATAGTTTGTGTTTTTTTTTTTTATTTTTTTTTTTTATTTTTTTTTTTTTTTAGTTATGCTTAAAACGTTTTTGAATTTTTTTGAAAAATATTGAAAGGGGTGACTTTGCCTTTTCCATAAAATGATGCCGAATAATCACAGC